TTTTAATATAAAATACTCTGACCTAAAATCTCACGCAATGAATACAATAAGATTTTTTTTTAATTCAATGATGGGACTTCATGCGTATATTAACAAGAAATAATCACGCAAGTTATCAATAAATATCCTTATATAAATTAAAAGACACTATCACCAAGTAATCTACTCAGTTACAAAGCTACTTATCATATGATGTATCAGACAATCGAAAATTATATGTATTGGAAACCTTGGATATATAAAATGTAAATTTTTTAAATCGTAACAAAGGATTTGTAATTTTGAGGCTAACTACTTTTGTCAGAAAAAACTGTATACAAATTCTACTAAACATAACTACTAACAACGGCAAGAGAAACAGCTAATTAAAAGCTTTAATGTAGAAGGAGCCAATTGAAAACTGAAGTCTAAAAACAGCTAACTCAAAAATGCTGTTAACTGAAAATTGCTGCAGAGGAACAGCTAACAATAATTTTTATTGTAGAATCAGCTAATTTAAAGAAATATTTTAACTAGAAGCATTTCTTATAATACTAAGAGTACACTTATTTGCAACTGAAGAATTTGATAAAAAAAACTAACTGAGCAAGGTTTTCAAGTCGGGATCAACTAGATGCTTCTTTACTGCAACTTTGAGTAAGGTTAATTTGAAAGCCATTTTAAATTAGTTTCGTCTTCAACTATTTTCAGTTTACTATTTCTTGAACCAAGAATTATTTAGGAGTATAACTATAAGTAGGAAATAATGCATTTAGTTAGTCATTAATTTACTTACATTACAGCAACAGTTCAGCGATACATATTTTTTTATGGAAAATATTAAATTTAGTTATTGTTGTGTCAAATTAAAATAAATAAAAACCATACACTGTTTAAATTCAATTTTCAATTTATTTACATATAAATATGAAATGCACACCTTCAAAAGTTTTATTAAACGTGAAAAATTTAGTCATCGTATTCAGAAGATGTTTTGAATCTGAAACTATAAGAAGTTGATACAACTTCAGATATCATCATATATGTGCTTATGCAGTAATTAAATAACTTAGTGCTTTTGTCTGACACTGCAGAGTGCTTCAGTAACATTATAATTGAACTCACAGCTTGATATACACATAATAATTATTATAATTATTTGTTTTGTTGACTTTATGTATGAAGTATTAAAAGATGCAACCCTCACTTTATCAAAAAGCGCCACTTGAGCACTAGTTGTATTTTAACCAGCTATTTTCGCAGTCGACAATCGTACGCTTTATAAAGATACATAAAATTCTTTAGCATTCTGAATTGTAAAAAAAAAGAGCTTTACTGGCTCTTATAAATACATCGAAAAATCGAGATTGTAATGCACGAAATTAAAACTATACTTAGCCACTGCACTTATATCATATACAAAACAATAATATTTTACCCACCACCTTCCAAGTCGATAACCAAACGCTTTGAAAAGTTACATGACATTTCTCAGCGTTATGTGCTTTTAGGTTTTTTTTTTTGGAGATATAAAATTGCCNATATAAACATCAAATTACAGATTATACTAAAAATGGGTTCATTAACATACTTCACACATTTGTATATAATATGTCTGATTGCCCTCAAGTTTCTGTCATTAAAAATTAAATAATAAGCATGTATGCATTCACGTACATATGTAGTTTGAGTGATCCAAAAGAAAAAGATTTTTTTCTGCTATTAATTCTTGTAAGTAGTCACTTTTTGTTCAAACCCCTGATAAAACTAATAGCTTTTTTTTCATTGATTTTATTTTGCCTGGTTAGGCATATCACGTGTAGTTAAAAAGTTATATTTTTTGCACGCGTTCAGTTTTGTATTTAGTAACATCTAAACAAAAGAGTACAGGCGGAACGTGCAAGATGTTTGGGCAGAAAATAAAAGGTTTTTGTGAAATTTCGAACCACGCAGACTTACAAAACTACGTATGAATATGTGCATATATGTGTGTATGCATATTATTGTGTGAATATCTGATATATATGTGTGTATGCATATTGTTATGTGAATATCTGATGTATAAAAATTTTGAAAACTGTTAAAAATGTAAGCCACAAATCAGATAGCTATGGATTCATCACAAGACTAACGACTTTTACAGGCTAGGATAAATTTTTTTAGCTCTATTTTTATTATATTTATGATTGACTCGAATGAAAGAAAATCATGATAGAGTTTGCTCTTATTTTTTTTAAACGTAGTGTTTAATGCTATCTTAGAGGTCGATTCCTTGCTTTATGGTTAATATGCTTTTATACCTGAAACTTACTTCGTTTAGTACAATGATACAAAAATCAAATTTTATACAACACATGTTGTCAACAGACTAATTGCATACTTATCCTATGTTTCATATTAGCATTGATATCAGTTTTCAATATAAATGCATGCATCTTTGTTTTTAAGAACGTATGTATGTATAGTTAGATGAGTGTTGATTTAGAGGTATGCCTATATAAATAGTAGTTTAATTTTTTACAAGTATACACACACACGCATATACATGAATACATTTAAGTTACCATTAAGATAATAAGTATTATGTAAAATTTTTTCTTTATGTATCATTACAAACGTGATTTCGATGACTGGAATGTAAGTGAGGCATAGAATTTTGATGATTTTGCACTATCTGAGTCATTGCAGTCGTCTCTTTTACACGGAATCTATCACTACATGTGATAGAGTTTCTTCTTTTATCTAAAGATACTACGACTGACGTTTGAGAATCTGTTAAATCTTCCTCAGATCCTAAGTTTCTAAATCTGACAAAACCATCTTCAGCGACTAACATTGTAGATCCGGATGCTGAAGAATTTCCGTTAGTTTGTGTAGAAGCTTTATACTGATGTTTTCTATCTAGTTTACAAAAACTATGCGTTTCATTCGTTTGATGAGTAAAAGAATCTCGTAACTCTTGAGAAAAATGGTTTGATGGTTCAGACTTTCTTGAAGAATGTCTTTCGAATGTATTATTAACATTTAGATGTTCTGATAACGTATTCAAGGGAAAACTGTCATCATAAACTTGTTTACCTGTACGAACTGTATAGTTGTGGATTGCTTGATTCGTACTACATATTGCTGGATACAATGCATCATCTATATGTTCAGCTGAAAAAGAGTTACCACACGGAAATAGAGCAAATCCCGAGTGAACAACATGTTGCTGAACTTCTTTCTCTCGAGTTTGATATTGCGATAAGCTTGCGACCCATGAAATTAATGTACAAATTATCAACTCTATAACACGAACAAGAAATTCCCAACACCACCATAACCAAAAGTGTGGTTGGAGATGATCTTGAACTTTAAATATACCATACAACTGTACAAAACCCATAAGAATAAAAAGTAATGCTGTAGAAATGGTTATAGTAATGGCAGTTCTAAGAGTAGACATGGCAATGTCTGTAGTCATGTGATTACTAATTGATTTAGTACCACTTATATGTAATTGTGTCTTTATCACACGATATACATACATATAACATAGCCCTAATGCTACACAAATTATAACATATATGCACTGACAAATAAGATAAAGTATTTTAGAACTATTTTTTAAACCAAGAAAATGATCAGATATATAAAAAGATAGAGATAATGTTGTATAAATAATGAATACAACAACAACTATAAATGGTGACCAAAATTTATTGTGGTATATAGTCTGGGCTACGGAACATCGAAACATGTAGAGAATAAGTGTAGCAAATACTGCAGTAAGTAAAGAAGAAGGTAGAAACATAAGTATATTTGAAAGTGCTTCTGGTAAAGAATGACCTAAATTGTATGCATCGTAAAATAGATGGAAGCATCGTAAAGTACAAATTAAGGTTAATAATAAGTGAACAGTCAAAAAATACCACTGCGTTAAAAGATTAGTTGCATCATTAAATCGAACTATTTTATAAACTGAGTAAAGTGCTATTAATGTAAAAACTAGAGCTGATAAATAAACATGAAGTGACAAAGCTATCTTCCACATGGGTTCTAAGGTATGTGAAATCAAGTGTAAATTTAAATTTCTTACATTTTTCTTAATATCAGGAATTTCTGATGGTAACATAGGAGGTTGAGGCTGAGAATATGAAAATTTCTCATTATTTCTAATACCAAGATTGTGTTTATTAACTGGTTGCTCATTTTTCCGGGAACTCTCATAGTAAATACTATCACTTCCTTCAGTACTACTTTTTTCATTTGACACGGTTATGATTGGAGAGTATGATGAAGTAAAGTGAATCTCATCAATTGATTGAGCAATGGAGACAGTTGTTTGTTCTTTACTTTGATATTTGATGTTCAAGTGTCCTAGGGGTGATTTAGTTGAAATTTGTTTCAGTAAAACTTCAGGAATATCCTGTTTTCGACCATTACTACCTAACAATATTCTTGAAATACTAGTTATGTGCAAAGACGAAGTGTAATCATTAGTATTATTAAAATCTTTCCCCCCGTCTGGCATTTCAAATTGTTCTTTATTTATAAAATCATGTCCTCCGTCTTTTGTTTTAGATTGCTTATTAATAATTTTTGTGCTATCTTCAATCAAATCCGGTGGTTTTATCGGTATTCTTTCGTGTGATAGAGTGAGGCTTGGAGGAGGTATGGGACGCCTGATACTTTGATGAATATCAACGTTTGTTCCTCTAAGTGTTGGCTTATTAGCAAATGGATTCGCATATTCCGGCGGAAGTGGTGGAGTGAAAAGTGCTCTCGAAGGAGGCCCATATGATTGTAAATCTTGAAATACTGGAGGGTTGGTTGACTTTGTAGTAACCATAGGATATAATACCAAAGGGGTTGAAAAAGAAGAAAAGTCTTTTGAAGATGGAGTTGTTGAATGTGTAGTACTCTGTGATATTTGTGCTTCATACGCCGGAACACTTCGTTTTGTTGTTGCAGAACTATGAGCAACCTTGTTGAATATAGCTGCAATTCTTTGCTCAAAAGTTGTATGATCTATATTAAAAACATCGCTTGGATCACTTTCACTTGTTGTAAGTACCAATTCATTACCGAATAATAAGCATAGCATTTGAAAAACTAACTTATGCATTATTAAATGCATTTATTAATGCACAATGGAAATTTGAATGGGTTGGTTCTTAGATGATTTGAAATATGTTGTGTGTGTTTTTTGTGGTTGCAGCAAAAATTTAAAGACTTCAGTGAAAATTCTCTTGTAATAAATTTTTACTTGTATGCGAATAAGTAACGGATAAGGATTACAATTTTTATTGATTAAAGAGCATGTAGATAGCTTATTTAAGTATAATAGCGACGTGACGATGTAGATCGAATCATCTGTGAGCATCACACATTAAATTATGTTTGGATACAACATATAAATTATTTTTTATACTTTTAAATGTCGACTGTTTCAATTATGTAACTATGTGAATCCTTGATGTTTCTTTTTAAAGAATTCATACTGATAATCTAATTAACTGTAACTTAAACCATTAAAGGTAATAGAATATACTATAAACATTGTTTCTACACAGAATCGTTGTTTGGCGGTTCCAAAATCCGAGGCCAAAGTAGCGTCAAGCCATTCGAACCATCTGAAATAAAAATATAAGTATGAAAATCGATTATTTACAGTGAAAGATTGTAATGATATATAACTGACAAACACCAACATGAAAAACAATCACAGTTCTTAAGGAGAGCATTTGAAAATATTTATTCAATTATTTTCTTTTATTTTTTCAATAAATATAGATGGANTGCGTTAAAAATAACGTGTCATACATCATACTTTATTGTTCATACATGCTTATTGACGATGCTCTTTTATTTTCATCCAAGTTTTCAGTGCTTGCATGTGAGAACAGTGATTATTTAGGACAATAATCCTCCGTGTACTCTGACCCACAGTTTCAATACAAGTTTTAATTTCATTTTCTTTTAGTAGACACACCTTTTGTGGGTAAAATTTCCTAATTTCTGGATCAATTATGCTAATATTCATAGCTTATAAATAATTAGGATTTGACTAATAAATGACGTTTACAATCCTTTTTACAATTTTCTTAAAGTATCGATTACTTTTCGAGTATCCGGATAGTATCGCCCATCCCTACTTTGCAGTAGTCAACCACAGCTAATTTTATAAGGTTCATTGTATATTTATCATTTTGAAAGATTTTCGGCGACTGTATTGTCTTGTTCGTGTTTAAATATGACATTTTCAACAAAGTGAGTCGCCCAGAGAATTATTTGCCCCATTTATTTTTGTGTTAAATACCTAACCTGACAGGAGCTCTTATAATTCCATAATATATTCCAAAATCTGTAAGTACTAGATATGTCGTCAAACTTTGTATAATCTTTTGCAATTACTTCGTCTTATTTATGTAGACTACGCACTTTTTTAGGCAAAATGCAGTGAATACTTAAAAAAAGACGAACTACACCTTCGGTGAAGAATGCCATCCTTTAGAAATTTGGAGGAGCCACGGCAGACGGATCGGAATCTATGTCAACACATAAAATCAAGTAACAAGCTTCTTAAAACTCATGCATTAACTGAAGTGACAGTTATTTTATGGAACTATTTGAAAAAGTATATAATTCAGAAATTTTATGATGATTTTGTCTAGTCGTTCGAGTCTTTTCTAGTTTTCTTTATTTATGGCTAGGCGTTGTGACTATTGTATTAATTTATTGAATTTATATTTCTTCTCTTTATGCTTTGTTGGGCGACAATTTACTTTCACCTGATTGTTTTCAAATAATAAAAAATTTCAAACTAAAATTACTTGATCTAAGTATTACAAAAAGTGAGAAAACGCTACTTCTCAAATAATTGCCCGCAACGTGGAGCGTTCGTCAAACTGCAAATTTTTCAAATTCTTTGAGATAGTCAGTGGACCAATTTAGACGTTTCGAAAGTCATAATACTTCTAAAACTAATTATAAATTTTTGCCCAACGATACCCTCGAAAAAGTAAAAAATCACTTTAAAAATGACAAAAATAGCAGAATAATGCCTGGAATAAAAGATACTAAAAAGGTAAAAAATGAAGATGGTAGTAAAAGTTACTTTCAAAGAAGACTCATTTTATACAATCTTAGAGGGTTATATGTTAAATTTGAAGATGAGAACCCTGAAATTAAAGTTGGTATTAGCAAGTTTGCTCAATTGCGCCCACAATATTGTGTACTAGCTAGTGCAAGCAGCACACATACGGTTTGTGTGTGCATTTACCACCAAAATGTCAAGCTTATGCTTAGTGGCCTAGATATTTTTAGTCTGTATGGTCTGATTAATAACTATAAAGACTGCATATCACGAATCGTTTGCAAAGAGCCAACACCTAACTAAATTTAAAAACTGCCCTGGGATTGATCAGCTTAAGTTTAATTTAATACATTAAATGCAAAATGCTTCAATTGACAAAGTGAAGTATCAAGTATGGTACAGTACTGATAGATTAACATTACAAACTCGCATTGATATTTACGAAACTTTTATTAACGATTTATCGTCTGATTTAATTAAGCTGAAAAGTCATTCATTTATCTCAAAATCACAATCTGCTTACTGTAAACACGCAAAAGAATCTTTAATAACAGGACAGTTTTTGATTTCGTTAGATTTCTCTGAAAATTACGCATTTGTTGCTTAAGACGCGGCGTAGTTTTTTCATTACAATAACAATCAATGCAGTTTAGCAACAATTGTAGTTTATTATAAAGAATCCCATTTAAAGTTACAGTATAAAAGTATAGCAATTTTCTCAGATAACTTGATTCATGATACGGTAGCCGTACATTGCATACAAAAAATTTTAATTGATTTTCTGAAAAAAAACATTCCAATCGGTTTTATAAAGTTATATGCTTTATCGGTTGATAAAGTTATATACTTTACTAATGAAGCGGCTCAGCACTTTAAAAAGGAGTATAATTTTTTAAGTATATTACACCATTTAGACGACTTTTCTGTTGAAGCAGAGTGGAAATGTTATGCTACAGCACACGGTAAAAATGCTTGTGATGGTATAAGGCTGCAGTCAAAAGTAATGCTCGCCGAGCTAGTTTGAGAATGGTTTCAAATAATAGAATTTTAACACCTCAAAATCTTTATGACTGGGCCAAGAGAAACTGTAAGAATATTATCTGTTTCTATACCTTAAAACAAGATTATTTGATTGCTCAAGAACAACTAAAAGAAAAATTTAAATCAGGAGTAACGGTTCCGGGTACACTAACTCATCATTTCATAAACCCTGTTGTAAAATATAAGCAACTAAAATTAAGAGAATTTTCAGCGTCAGAATCATTTCAAATATTTCCACCGATTCATAAGACAGAAAAATCAGATCCATTGTGTACGAATTCTTCTAAATTACAAAAAAATACTTAAAGGAAAGATATGCCTACTGATTCTTAATCAAAGTAAAAAAAAGTTGCCAGAAAATTAGCAAAAAAAAATTAAAAACATGTAGTGTTTTATCTATAAGTTTGTTTGTGAATACAGCTATAAGAAACAAGAAATAAATATTTTTACAATATTATTGATTTTTGGATAGAAACTCTAGGGAAAAAAATATTAATTGTAACGTAGTATCCACATGCAGTGCAGCTGATACGCGGCGCTGGGAACGAGGTGGCGATCAACCGCACGCGCCACGGTCATTGATTGTTCACCACTCGTTTGCCGTTTGCCCTCCCATCTTAAAAATTTAAGGGATTGTAGTTCAAGACTTGCTCTTTCGAATGGGGCCAGAAAAAAAATTTAAAAAAAAGCAGTTTTCCGCAGTAACGCTTTGAACTTCAATCGTTATTTTTCCTATAAAAAACATTTTTAATCCCAAAATTGACGGCACCACTTTTTTACCTTTTAAAATTTTTTGAGAATCAAAATTGAACGAGTGACTTATCAAAGCAAAACCTGTTTTTATAGCTATATCTATTATTGAAAAAAAATTAATACTGTGCTAGAATAAAATGTTTATCAAATTTTGTGTGCTTTGCTGTCATAACAATTTCTGCCAAGAAGTCAGTTGATACAACTTCAGATATCATCATATATGTGCTTATGCAGTAATTAAATAACTTAGTGCTTTTGTCTGACACTGCAGAGTGCTTCAGTAACATTATAATTGAACTCACAGCTTGATATACACATAATAATTATTATAATTATTTGTTTTGTTGACTTTATGTATGAAGTATTAAAAGATGCAACCCTCACTTTATCAAAAAGCGCCACTTGCGTGTCATACATCATACTTTATTGTTCATACATGCTTATTGACGATGCTCTTTTATTTTCATCCAAGTTTTCAGTGCTTGCATGTGAGAACAGTGATTATTTAGGACAATAATCCTCCGTGTACTCTGACCCACAGTTTCAATACAAGTTTTAATTTCATTTTCTTTTAGTAGACACACCTTTTGTGGGTAAAATTTCCTAATTTCTGGATCAATTATGCTAATATTCATAGCTTATAAATAATTAGGATTTGACTAATAAATGACGTTTACAATCCTTTTTACAATTTTCTTAAAGTATCGATTACTTTTCGAGTATCCGGATAGTATCGCCCATCCCTACTTTGCAGTAGTCAACCACAGCTAATTTTATAAGGTTCATTGTATATTTATCATTTTGAAAGATTTTCGGCGACTGTATTGTCTTGTTCGTGTTTAAATATGACATTTTCAACAAAGTGAGTCGCCCAGAGAATTATTTGCCCCATTTATTTTTGTGTTAAATACCTAACCTGACAGGAGCTCTTATAATTCCATAATATATTCCAAAATCTGTAAGTACTAGATATGTCGTCAAACTTTGTATAATCTTTTGCAATTACTTCGTCTTATTTATGTAGACTACGCACTTTTTTAGGCAAAATGCAGTGAATACTTAAAAAAAGACGAACTACACCTTCGGTGAAGAATGCCATCCTTTAGAAATTTGGAGGAGCCACGGCAGACGGATCGGAATCTATGTCAACACATAAAATCAAGTAACAAGCTTCTTAAAACTCATGCATTAACTGAAGTGACAGTTATTTTATGGAACTATTTGAAAAAGTATATAATTCAGAAATTTTATGATGATTTTGTCTAGTCGTTCGAGTCTTTTCTAGTTTTCTTTATTTATGGCTAGGCGTTGTGACTATTGTATTAATTTATTGAATTTATATTTCTTCTCTTTATGCTTTGTTGGGCGACAATTTACTTTCACCTGATTGTTTTCAAATAATAAAAAATTTCAAACTAAAATTACTTGATCTAAGTATTACAAAAAGTGAGAAAACGCTACTTCTCAAATAATTGCCCGCAACGTGGAGCGTTCGTCAAACTGCAAATTTTTCAAATTCTTTGAGATAGTCAGTGGACCAATTTAGACGTTTCGAAAGTCATAATACTTCTAAAACTAATTATAAATTTTTGCCCAACGATACCCTCGAAAAAGTAAAAAATCACTTTAAAAATGACAAAAATAGCAGAATAATGCCTGGAATAAAAGATACTAAAAAGGTAAAAAATGAAGATGGTAGTAAAAGTTACTTTCAAAGAAGACTCATTTTATACAATCTTAGAG